CTTTTGACACGAAGCAGTACCAGAAAAAACTTCAGCTATGGAGAAAGCTAGAGCAGGTAACGTAGTCGAGTAAAACACGCCGGTAACTATAGCTACGGTTATCGACGCTTTTCTGTTCTGCTTGTAAGAAGGAAATAACGGCCCACTTTGAGCGCGTATGGTTCGCTGTTGACGAAGCACTTCTTTCAAAATATAAAAATAACAGTAAGAGATAACAACTCCGGGAAATAAGAATACTGTGCAAACAGATATTATCCAGAAATCGTCTTCTTGGACAATCCAACGCAGACTAGCGATGAAGCTGGAAACAACACAAATGATAGCAGCGACGCATTTAAACCTAGAAACTGTAGCGATGGTGGCGTAACGTAAAGGATAAAGCACTCCTATATACCGTTCCACGCTGACGGCGCACAAGCTGTATGTTGATACGGCGATGGACAAGATGTGAATGAAGTCAACCCAAATACTGACCGGATGTTCCTCGTCTGCTATTCGTAAAAGCGATCGAGTTATCCATAGTGGTAGCGCAATGAATCCAACAAAAAAGTCACTAAGGGCTAAAGCAGCAACGAAGTAGTTTGTTACCGTGTGAAGAGATGGCTTTTTATAAACTGCAGTCAGTATTAACGCATTGGTGGAGCAAGCGATAATAGATATGGACGCACCAAGTATAGTTGTTACGATGATATTCCACTCCTCTGTTGGAAGTGTATCACATTTTTCGCTTCCCATAATTCTCAATATTTTATCTGTCTCGGTGTTTTAGGATCAATGAAATTGTTCAGCTATACAAAAGGACCCTAACCCTGTTAAACCCAAGCGCTTATTGTGTCCTTTCTGAAAGGGAAAGCGCAATAAAAGGACTTTGAGAAACTTTGTTCTACGAGCACAAAGGACCATGGGAATGTGGTGCACCTGACAGACAAATAGTAATTTATTTTCACTAAAAATGCTTTTTCATAAATATGAGTCAACGTTGCATGACAATGATGAGGTATAATTGCAAATTTTACATCTGGTGACTTCGTAAACTGTCGTTTGGTTTGCGCATAAATTTTGAACCACTATTAATTTTCTACCACTGTCCTTCCTACCAATTCATCCTTTACTGAATTTGTTCTTTCGAATCCCTGTCACTCATAAAACAGGGGCACCCAACGACTGTTTTCTTTAAAATATCTGTTCGGAGAAACAAATATTGCCAACTGAAGAATTTTCTATTGCTTTGAGGAAGGCTAAAAAGTTCTTGATGACCGTTCTTAATGAATTCACTACGATTTTCTGAAGTTTAATTTTTCACATTTCATCCCCAAAGTTAGCCTTTTTTTCGTAGAAAAAAGGAAAACTATAATTTTCGGATTCAAAATTGCGAGGAGAGAGGGAACAGAAAAATTTTCACTTGCATAATAAGTAAAATTGCGTCTAAAATTTTCGGGAAAATAATAAAGAAGCCCTTGTAATTTCGAAAGACTCTAGTTCTCCTAGGAGGACAGAACAGACACAAATTTTATAGCACCGCTTAGAATGCATTTTTAGAGATCTAAACGTATTCTTAATAGTCTAAAAAGTGTTTTCAGTGTATTTACGAGGAAACCGTCGTTGGGTGCCCCTGATACAAAGAAATTATGATTGGGAGACTGATGGTTATCTCCTTTAACATCAACCATCCTTATATGGTCACTCTTTAAAAAGAACTTGATACATTGTAAATGACTGCGAAAAATCGGCTATGATATTTTAAAGGACTTACAAATTTTGTATTTGCCCAATTCGAGATTAACCAAGTAAAGCAAAAAAGAAACGTTGTGGACTCTCCAAAGGTGAAAATAGGCTTGCGAAAGCATTAAATATTTAAACTGGACCTTTATCGCTCAAATGTCGACACCATCTGTATATAAGGAATTGTTGTCGACCATCCGATTGTTGTCCATTATCATCATCATCATTATCATCATTATCATCACCACCAGCCACCACTACCAACACCATTTAACTCTAATGCTTTCCCTATGTTGTAAAAAGGGCAAAAAATCTTACTAATTACGGTCTCTGTCTCGGGCAACGACAGAGGCCTAGCTTATAACGCTGGACCTCAGTCCAAGCCCTTTTAGTTCTTTCTCTCATCTACAGCTCTTTTTCATGTCTCCCGGTGTCTCCCTCTCTTTCTCTTGCCCTCTTCCTTTCAAGTTATTGCGGCGGCAGGAGAAGCTACAATGTAGTTTCTTCCCGCCCCTAGTGTTACGCATGACCAAGCCTTTTCGCTCTCGCAGTTACCTCTGAGTCATCACATGGGGCTCAAACTCGGTATTCATGTTACGATCAGTATTATCGCCTCAAATGATTATTATCTTTTTCATGGGAAATCACAACTAGTATAATTCTCAAAACGCTAAAATATACATATAAATACAGAGTTCTCCTTAATACCACAGGGGCCCGGACATTTATGAAACCGCTTATTTTTCATTCGGATTCGCGTGGAGGGGGAATTAAACCCCCCATTTTGCTTAGCAGTTAAAAAAAAGAAAACACAGATTCACCGAGCGGATTCACTGGTTTCTTGTGTACGGAATGTTGATTCGTGGAATGTAATATAAATACGGTTTCAAAAATACCCAGATTCCGGTGTGGACAGAGCCTAAAAATCAAGCCCCAGAAGGCTCTAGAAGGCGGATCAACCTAGCGCCATATATGTTTTCTATATTTAGTTTACATGTCAAGGGTTGTACTTGTCCCTAGCGCTATGAGGATATTCGTAGTGGTAGGATCTTCCTTGCTAGAGGTACAACGATCCTAGCAAGAGGAACTTCTTAGCACCATTGCAGGGGCGAAACTAGGGGGAGGGTGCAGGGGGTGCGCACCCCCCCTCCCCCCTGAGATGACCTGCGGTTTTCTAATACAACTGGAATTCTGCAAAAAAAAATGTGGTTTATTGGTGTTGCACCCCCTCCTAAAAAAAATCCTGGATCCGCCCCTGAAGTAAACTTCTTCCGCTAGGAAGATTCTCGTACTAGGGTCAAACTTGAAAAGAATGATGGTGGGCCGTTTGGTGGTTAATCAAGGCAATAAAGGCTGAAAATTTCGCCTGGCGTTACAGTTGTAAAGAACTGCCAGTTTCTGCTGAAAGGTAGTTTTGCCGCTAATAAAGGAAGCAAAAGGGCCAGCATTGTATGTCACCGCTACTGTCACCCGCCATTTTTAATTCCTATTCTGCATCAACGAAAAGTTTTTCCACCTTCTAGGATCTTCCTCTCTCCATGTAAATAGCCCCTTAATAAGCAAAACAGCAACTCTGCACGGGCAGCACTCTTTTTTGTACATCTTGTATATTCAAGAGCCACCTCACTGGTATCTGTACTGGTAATAGCTATGTCAATTAATATGGTGTCTTTCTCTAATTCACTGTTCGTGGCAATTTAAACTAAGCAATATCAATGATAATACTGTTACAGTATGCCACGACTTTTAAACGATATTGCCACCTAATATGGCATCAGTTCGTAAGTCGTCAGGCAAACTGGAAGGTGGAACGAATACAGGAACGGGCATTGAGAGCCATATATAGATCCCACTCGGATACGTATGAAGAACTCTTAAAGAGGGCTAATTAACCTTCCCACGTTATATAGACCTTTTCAAGGCATCGTAGTACTGATGTATAAAGTCAAGTATGGTCTTGTGCCAGATAATGTTTCCAACGTATTCGTTCGCAAGAATTCTGTGCATTCACTCCGGTAATGACTTTGTCACACGTTTCAGCACCATTCGCTATGGAAAACATTCGAACAGATATATGGTCTAAACTAAACAAAGGTCTACGAGAGGCTTCTAGCTTAATCAGTTTTAGGAACAAAATATTTTATTAGAAAATTGAACTTTTCAGAGCATTTTTCTAATAATAGTAACTGTTGTAAACTCTGCAGTGAATAGACAACAAGTTATTTATTTATTTATTTAGCTATTTTATGTTATGTAAACTCTGCAGTGAATAGACAACAAGTTATTTATTTATTTATTTATTTAGCTATTTTATGTTATCAGTAAGTATCACAGTATTGTAATTGTCTACTTTCCGTTGTATTTTATCGAGGGTGTGGATTTTATTGTATTCAGCATAGTCTATATAGTGTCCCCAGTTAGTCCCACGGGCTAAATACTCTGACACTTAAATAAAGGTTCTTGTCTTATCTCAATCCCCGATGACAGCGGAATCAACTCAGTGTGGTTAAACACCTTCCATTCGCAGACGGGCATATCCTCGAGATGCCTCTTAGAAAATTAAGCCGAAATTGAATGAGTCACAGGGAGGGATCGAATTTGACTTTTTAGATTGGTCCAATTTTGTTTTGGTTCGCGCTTTTGCCCGGCAGCTTTCCCTTCTTTTGCAGGGGCGTAACCAGTAGGCCCGGACCCGACAAATTTTTTATTTGATCACTCTACAGCTTGCAATAAATTATGCGTTGTTGTGGTGGGCTAAAAACCTTAAGAGGTACATGTGATGGAGTGAGAGGTCAGTGCGTACTAGCCATTGGTGCAATTTTCACGATGTGTGGAAATGAGAGTCAGCCAGGCCTACAACTAGTCGAAAAGCTGACTACGCCCCTGTTTTGGTATAATTATTGTTTTTCTTCCCTCGTAGACTGAGAAGTCCCAACATTTCCAAATTCAACCGTGACGTAAAACCGACAAGACACACAGCCTTATATAATTAGTCAGAAGACAAAAATGAACACTAAACCCATTCGTTATACAGTTTTTATTGCTTTTCGCCAACTTATCGTTGACGGTTGCGGCGCTTTATATATTAACATTGTTAACTAGTTAAGGTACAATACAATGGGTGATTTTGTTAACTTAGTTTTGTTTTTAATTATTTCGCCTTGAGTCTAAACTTCTCCCTGGGAAAGATCATCCGACTGTTGCTTTCACATGTTGGCCTTGATGTGTTTCCTGTAATTACTTTCTACATCTGAAGCGATAACCATAGGTCTGGCTTTTCATCTGCGCCAACTAATCTGAGGACCCCCTCCCCATCGGCTACGAGGAGGAGCATCTTGAAAATCATACTCCTCATTCTCGCTTTAAAGAATGAAAAAGTCAGAAAAGATTAGAGATTTAGATCAAAAGTTGGCACAATCAAAAGAAGGCATGTAACGATAGAGAATTTAAAAAAGCTCGCTCATAAAGTTACCTCAATACATAAAAGTGATTTCCTGCTACAAAATTGTCAACATCTTAACTTTGCGAGATAGACTGTCCGCCAGTTCTTCGTATGGGTCTAGTACCAAAATTGCTTTAAATGCGCTTGTCATATTTTGTGTTGAAAAAGATAAATTTGGCTTCTGGTTGAGATTCTAAAGTCACTGTTTTATTAATTACCTAACCGATTTATTAAAAAAAAAGCATTATTTGAGTGTCAATGTATTTAGCACGAAAGTGCTAATTGGAGACACTATATTTTACGTCTCGTAATGGAGACGGGACCGCCATTTTAAGTGGTCATCCGAGCCGCGCGAAGGTCCAGCCGCCTGCAGGACAAAGGAAGTACCTTCATTTCTCAGTTATTTTAAGACCCTGAGTATTGGTCCGGCCCCGGGAATCGAACCCGCGACCTCCCGCTCTGCAATCAAACGTTCTACCGACTGAGCTAATCCTGCCGCGGTTAGTTCAAAACTTTTCACAAGTCGCACCAATCCGGAAGTTAGGGACCTTTTTTGAAGTTGTAATGCTATATCGCCCCACATAAAAGATAGTTAAATCATAAAATGTATTTTCTGTATCACTGAGAATTAGGAAATTAAGTATACATTTAAGTATATCTCAAAGTGTCTCTTTCTTCGCTAATTGAGAGCGACATAAACAGGCATGCAACGTACATTGAAAAAACTAACAAGCAAAAAACAAAACAAAACAAAAGGCAAGGGTAGGTAAGGTAAGGCGCACCAACCTCGTCCTCAGGGCTTTTCCCTCAAAAAATGGGTGGGCGGGATAAGCCCTGGGGACGAGGCTGAAGGCGCACACGAGTCAAAGGCCCAAACGGCCGGAGCTTATACCGGTTTCCGTAGCATTAAGTATGCCTACGGAGTACTGCTACTTCCCCCCTGGACGGGATGCTAGTCCATCGTAGAGTTACCTCCCAGCAGTATGTCGCCGGTACCCATTTATACACCTGGGAGAGACAAAGTGGAGTAAAGTTCTTTGTCTAAGGAAACAACGCGATGGGCGAGGCTTGAACCCCTGACAGTTCGAGGTGTTAACCGCTCGACCACACACGCCTCCACTAAAACAAAAAACGGCTATTAAATTTATTTTGTAGAGGTTTTCGGTACCCTGATAACTTGTTATCATAAACACTAGTTCTGGATATATTGTAAATTTTAAATACTTCTACTCACGATTCATCTCCTTGAGCATCAAAGAAATCTTCAAAGGAATCATGATCTCCTCTGGTATTTGGTGTTTGATGTTTGCGCGTCATATCGTCAATGTCGCCTTCAAACATGTCTGGTCGGCCATTCAGAGCATTCCTTTTTGTACTCACAAAGGCAATAGAAAAGCAGAGCAGAATAGTTGGAATACCGAT